CTGCCCCCCAGCGGGAGCCCCAACTGGGCCCCGGGGGACCAGGCCCCACTGAGCAGCCGCCAGGAATAAGCCAGCACCCGCCCAGGCAACATCCACTACATCCTGTAGGGGATCAGGAATGTTGTCCACCTGAACCTTCCTGCTGACAGAGAGACATTAAAAACACAAAGACATTTTTTCAACTTTTCGGGAGGTTGAAATGCACATTTCACATCAAAACATATTTCCATAAAGTTTGCATATTACTAAGCAGATGTTTATGGGATAAAGTTGACCCAGCTTAGAGGTCACAAATCACCTTCTAATCTCCTTCATGTTTTCTGTGGATTTTTATTTTTCATGTTTCATTGTGTTGGAGAGGTAAGCCTAAAAAGGTTTTTCAAATATGTATCGTACCCTGTGGATTAGCAAGGGTTTCCAAAGCAGTTACTACCTCATCTGGACGTTCCTTAACTGTTCAAAGGAGTTTTATCCTAGAGGAGAGTGAATGTCTATATTAGTTGAAAAGAAATAAGATTTATAGCTATTTCAAAACGCAGAAATAGCCCGATTAATGGCAGAAAATCCAAAAAAAAAGGTACACATCTGGTTTCAACTTTAATGATTCATTGTTAGTTAATTTTAGATCCTACAATAGTTTATAGTATTTAATGTATCCAAATGGCAAGAGTTGACCTTGCAGACCATGTTGCACACTGGTCCCTCTGCTGCCATTTGTACATGCCATTATTTCTATTTTGGATGACAATCTAAATACTTCTTTCAGTGTCTGTTGAGCTGCAACAACAACAACAACACTGCAGTGCGGCCAGTTTAATATCTAATGCCATGTTGGGAGATGCAGTGTGCTGTTGTGTCGGCCTTGCGATCAGATCTCCCCAGACTGTGTCCACTCAGAATAAACACAGACAGAGTGGGTGAGATATTTTTACTTCAACCTCACACAGGTAAGGCGTTGAGACCTGCTCAGCTCACTGCCACAGTGGGTCACAGATGTTAAAACTTTCCAAAACAAATCTCTACAGCCAATTTTTTTTGTCTTGACACATTTTATAAATGAAAAAAAAAAAACTGGCTCCAGTAAGGCTGCAGTAAAAGGGACAAATATAGAAACAACTGGTAAGCTGGAAATGAGGAGTTGTGGGTGAAAGGGTGTTTTGCCTGAATAAATGGGCCCTATCCCTGTTGTTTTCTTTGGTTAGAACATGTTAAAGAGCACACTGGGATTCTGTTAGCAGGACAGAGATATTGTTTTGAGACAGACAGCCGCATAGGGATGGTTAGCGGTTACACGGCCATGTCCTGTCTGACCTGCGTGAGGTGGAGATGTGATAATCCAAACCGTAACTCTATGGAGTTAGAGGTCTGAGGTAGTTTTTATAGGGTTGTTTATATGCTCTATTTGAGTCAGCCGCAGTGCAGACTCTTGCTTCCTCTGCTTGGGACAGACTGAGAGAGGTGCTTTGCAGATGGGTGCAAGTTAGACACTTGTGCACGCGGGCGCACACTCAGACACAGGCAGGAGGAAAAACAGCAAACAAGATCCAGTCAGGGCCGGTACTGCTCCCTCGTCACCCGCAATGAGGTGGTTGGTGTGGTTCAGAAAAATGCCGGGATTTTCATTGTCCAGTCATACAACAAAAATGTTTCCATATTAAGATTTTAATCTGAGTACAGCAATTTATTCTGCAAATAACACTGTTTCTAATTTTTACAAAAAGATTTTTATGAGATATTTTCTGTTTAACATGAGAAAACTAAAATTAAGCAGAAAGAATCAGGTTTACCTGCAATAGTCATTGTTTAATAATTACTTATCTCTTATGCCAGACTGCTAAGCTTGCTCACTGCAAGTAAAACCCCGATCTAAAGTTACTTTCCCCCAGCTGCACCCCGAAAATAAATTAACACCCCCTTCATATAAATTTTTAAAGCTTTTGTTTGTTTTGGAGGTGGGACTTTACAAGGAACAACTGTTAAAGTTTGACGTAACTGAGGATGTGGGCACAAAGGAGACATGAAACGAAACAACAAAAGAACAAAACATCAGTTTTAAAAAGCACAAATTAAAACCCCCAGCGCTTCATGCTTTTTTCAGCTAAACCGACTTTTTTTTTAGCTTAAAAACAAAGTCAGCTTTGTGAGATAGTCATCTGAAATCCAGACAGAGGTGTGTCGGTGAGGTTGCCTTTTCTTTGGTTTAATAACTAGAGAAAATATGTGAAACTGTATTATTAATGAGCTAAAACATTAGAGTAAGAAGCATGAGGTATTGGGGTGGGTGGGGGTGGGGGGGGGGGGTACTCTTCTTTTAGAGTCATGGCTAAAAAGTTTGTTTTAGGATTTGTCTTTTCTATTTTTAAATACCGAATAATTCAAGATCCTTATATTTTCCAAGAGCTTTAAATTTCGATGCATTCAATGCATGTAGATATGCATAATTTGTCACATCTCTGCAATTTAACTTTTGCTTTCCAGCATTAACTTTGGATCTAAATCATGCTTTTTGAGACCAATTTTTTTCTTAAACAGGTTTTGAGTTGATGACAGTGTTTTCTAACTAGATCTTAAAGGGAGCTAACCACAGATTCTCAAATGGGTTAGGATTTAGTGATTTTTTTGGGAGTTCAAAGTGTTGGTTTTGTTTTTTTCCACTTTGAAATCTCGTTTGCAAATGTTCCTGTAGTTTTGAGACCCAAAAATAATTTTGGCCCATAGTTGTTAAGGCTGCCATAATGATCCTGTTTAAAAAGGTTTATTCCTCGTTTAACAGCGTATTTATCTGTTTCTGCTGTTACCGTGCACAGTCTGTCTCAGTCTTGCAGCCAGAGGGACATTTCAACTGCTCTGTGGTGTGTGAATAACAGACATCCACCCATGCTTGTTTTGCAGACATCCACACATGCGTGCTGAATTATTATCAACATCTAAAGACACGTGAGGTGGAAAATTCTACTAAATATATCACCTTGTTTTAAAACAGCAGAGGATTTGGTTTAATACGTCATAGTTGGAGTATTTTAACTGAAAATAAACGTATATGATACGCAAAAGTACTGCAGTGCAGGAATTAAAAACATCTTGCAGAAATGCATAGAGGAAATAACCTCAAATGTAGGTCAGGGGGAGGCTTTAAAACAAACCGAATGCAAACATCTGACCCACTGCCATATATGCCTAGCTGCATTACATAATGTGTTATCATAGCGGCACGAGGAGGGAAAAAAGTGAAATTGATTTCACTCTACAGCGACACGCCCATTTCTCCAGACTTCCATGGAAGTATGAATCAGATTTGTGCCTAGATTAGCTCCACTGCAGTTACTGTCACACAAATAAAGCAAAGACGTAACGTAGTGAACATCGAGGCAGCTGGCACACATCTGTGGCCGGTTTTCTAAATATTAAAAAAATATATATTTAAAAAGGTTGATCCTGCCTAATAATCAAGTGTGGGTAGTAACTAGTTATATTTATGAGTTCACATTGAGGAGCCATTTTTTTAACCAGAATAAAAAAAGTTGGCACCTCTATCAGTAGAGTACATTTTTTGGACACTCAACCCATTGTGAGTAACTTTGCTCAATATTGAACAAACTTACTTGAAGCAATACACCAGAGAGACACATCCAGTTTCTATTTTTATTTTTCTATTTTACACATATTTGTACTAAACGTTTCAATTCAATTTATTTGTTGTCATTTAGAGATGAACTAACATAAACTGTATCTCTACTGTCACTGCATGATTGCTGTGTGAGATTGCTGTAGAGTCAATGAGTCAATGCAATCAGCTAGTTTTCCACAGATAGAAAACTCTGTAAAGTGCCTTGAGATACATGTGTTGTGAATTAGTGCTAAATAAACTAAATGAAAATGTAATTATGTTGTTGCTGGCAATAACCTATACTATTTGCATCTATACAAACACATTATATGGAGGCCTCGTGGTTAGGGCATTAAGCTTGGAATCCTGAGGTTATGAGTTCAAAGCCCGCTCCTACAGACTTCCACTCTGGCTCCCTGAGCAAGACCCTTAACCCCACACTGCTCCCCGGGCGCCCTACAATGGCAGCCCACTCTCCAATGTGAGATCAATAAAGTTTAATTTATGACATACTGTATTGCTTTCATAAGTTCTTTTATGTATACATTGTTTATTACACATAAAATCTTATGTTAAAAATATAAATTAAATAGAACTTTTTATTAAATGTTCCATTATACCAAAAACACCATCTTTTTACTTCTGTAATTTGGTGGATTTACCTTTAGGTAAGAATGTGTTGCATTAATCCAATACCCTACCTTAATAGGTCTAATGCCTGAACAGTTAGATTCAGGTCAAAACACATTTTGAAAAACATATATATAATTGCAAGGAACGAAATGTACACTTATTCAGGGTGATTTTAAAGCAAAGTTTGAATTTCATGTGTTTTGCACAAAAAAAAATTAACCTTAAGCCTTAAATTGGTCAATCAGATCTTAAGGAATAGGTTATCGGTGTGCTTAAAGAACCCAGAGCCTGTGACAGCATTTTAGTTAAGAATTTAGTTAACTGTTCATGAGTAAGGTGCTTTAATTTGTTTATATTTTACTAAATCATCTATATTTTAAATGCATTTAATCAGTTTTGTATCATTTGAATTACTAGTCTGAATTTATCATTTTCTTTAACAGAGGGGGTATGTATAGCCCAACAGCAAGTCTCCCATTTCACTTGGATGTTCAGGATTACATAAACTGCAGGTTTCTGCTATGACTACTAGGGAAACCGGGCCCCAAGTCTGAATTTGTGGGCACTCATAACTTCTGGTCACGAGGTTGACTTGTGACGTCACTTATCACCCACACCAGCTGCTGCGCAGAGGCAGATAGTGAACGTCATGTTCTTAGAGTGACCTTGTTGGCCTCTAACTTAACCATCAGGGGCCTCAGATGAGAGATTTCATAATTTCAGACCAATCATTTCAAGTAAATGAAAAATAACTCCAAGATGGCAGAAGAATCATTTATTGACACATGCCTCATAGTGCAACCATCTCTTAAAAAATTCCAAAAGATCTCTTTGGAGTGTAGGCTGTAACAAAGCAATAAATACGAAAGATAAATTCATGCCAACATTGCATGCTGTAAAGCATTTTATATATAAAAAAAAAAATCTTGACAATTAATTGCCAGGTATAAAAGATATTAAGGCAAGATGGTCTTCTGCTTGCACACCGAGTACATGATTTCCTTAGCCGATCGCATGACCTGAAACAGAAAAAAATAATAATAATCAGCAACTTATTATTATGGATTACAGTACTTCACACCACACACAAACAGATGATTTAGTACCTTTGTTAGAAAGATTTTTGGATTTTATTCAGGATGTCACCATAGACTAGGTTGAACAACTTCTCCTTCGTCATGGTTCCATCTAGCTGCACTGTAAATACATACGGACAATATATTAAACTGGCACCTCTGCAAGCTGGTTTACGTTCAAAAGAGGATAATCTTCCCCAGATGTCATACTTACAAACATCAACACCTGATTCCTCCATGATTTTTGTGTGTTTCTGATACATGGGCCAGACATGGCCATCAAACAGACCCGGTGGGTCAGGCACCTTGTAGTTCCTAGAGCTACACAGATAAAAAAAACAAAAACAAAGCTTAATTTGGAAGGAGAAAAAAAAAAAAAAAAAAAAAAAAAAACTTAGAAACTAAGCTCAGGATGATATTAGACACTTACCACCTCCTCTTTTTGCATTCTTCATATGGGATGGACATAAAGTAGCGCTGGTTAAACACGTCGATCAAAGGCCTGCAGGGAAAAGTAAAAAATTTGATTAGCAATTTAGGCAAAGGTCAAGCTAATGACCTGTCTGGATGCCAGCTATGCCCTTACTGATAGGTGTAAAGCAGAAAGCCCTCCACAATAAGGATGTGAACCTCCTCATCCTTGCTGCGGTCAGACTTCGGGATAATCTCAGAGTCCAGGGTGTTATTGACGCCATGAGACTTCTCAAACTTCACGGGATTCTCCAGCCATGCGTAGATGGTGCTCATCATGGCATCCATATCCAGAGCGGTGATGACTACACAGAGAAGTGGGTGGGAAGGGAAAAGAAATGTAGCAGAGGTCGCATTGTAAGTAAAAGTCATTGCATAACAAGTTTTTCCTTATTGCATGCAGGTTACAAATGAAACTGCGTTCCATTTTTAAGCAATTGCAGACACACACACACACAAGCTCCCACACACAACCCCGCCATAAAAACCCAGGCTTACCATCATACTGCTTAAAGCCATCTTCACCAACTTCAATCTGATCTTGGGGCTGAAACATACATTGATAAGATGTACCCAGGTACATTCTTCTACACCTACACTCTGCTATATGGAAGTTTAACAGATATACTAGGTCTATTAATGGAAGAGACCGAGGAGAGACAAACCATTGAGTGGTCCCTTTGGTTCACTAAACATGGAGATTTGTGGGAATGGTGCTCACCTTGAAGAAGTCATCCTGGTGGACCACACAGCAGTTGGGAAGACTTCGGATCAGTCGGTTGGTGAGGGTGGTTTTCCCTCCGTTGGTAACTCTGTGTGGAAAAATGAAGGGGAAAAATCTAATTAAACAAAAAACATTGTAAAGATACACATTTATAACAATCCAAGATCGATAACTACATGAAATGTATTGAAATAGTGTGTTTAATTTTGCTTTTCAATAGAATCACGTGCAAAGAATGAATCAAGGAAGCGGATGGCCCATCTGTTACACTCTTATAAGCAGCTAGCTTACGCATATAAATCAAACTCGGAAATAAGAACATACTTCAAACCGATGCGTTTTGTTTACCGTATTTTTGTGTGAAGTATACATCCAACATACCAAATAGAGCAACGTTTTATTTTATCTGCCAAGCCTCCACGTGTAGCGTCCTTTAAAGGCCTGTAAGGAAGTAGCCTAGCTTAGCATCGAGACTCACCCGCCAATGCCGATGATGTACTTCATGGTGTCGGATGGGTAAGGCTTGAGTCGGTCGTTGAGAGTTCAAAACGTCAATAAAAACCGGGTCAGGAGCACAATGATCTGACGGGAAGAAAGCTTAAAAGAGAAAGGCTGCAGCAGGAAACGTCAACTACTTGACTCCTCCATGGTACTTGAGTTTAGAGAGTAAGGTAAGAGCAGAGACGGGCTGTCACTCGTACCGCGGTCTTCCACCGAGAGAGAACCTCGTTGTTCCGTTGCTTCCACACATACTGAGAAAAGGCCCGTGATTGGATATTTAAAGACTATGAGGCTTGGCGAGCAACCAATCACGGATGAGCTTTCCTGTGGGTCATGCTCGCTCCTCCTACCAAACCACGGCACGGTTTTAGGGAGGAAATAGAAAACTGAATAACAAAAAAAGTGGATTGGTAAACAAACAGAAGGAAAACTATGAAAAAAACGCTAAGAATAAAAACAAATCATTTATTTGAGTCTTAATTTCTTTCTGTTAAACGGTTGCAGAAGAGACATGGTGAAGCTAGGAAATCAATGATAACATAACATGCAGATAACATTGTTTGTACTGTTTTAAGAAAGTAGACCCAACGCTGTGCAAATTAGGCAGACATCTTTATTTGCAGCTTTGAAATTACAATATTAGAGCTCCATGAATAGATAAAACATAGTGATTACCTACGAAATGGTAAAGTCTTATACAGGCAGATAAAAATAATAATAAAATTGCTCAGTATGCACAATGTGAGTCAATATATAGATACAGTAACTGTAAAACTCTTTAAATAATTCTAGTGTTCATGCATATAGCCATGTGGTCCTTATTGAGTTTTAGAATATTTGTTTTAATACCAATTGTACAAAAAAATTACTAATAATCAGTGTATAAAACCGAATAATGAATGTGATGTGCACAAAAAATACAAAAATAATAATTGATCAGCAATTGCTGGCCTTAAATGCAGGTGTGTATAAAAAAAAATATTAAAGTGGAAAAACATCAGTTATAGAACAATGGTTGCTGCTGCCCAATACTCTGGCCATCTCTATGCAGCATAAAAATATGTGAATTGTTGCTAATCTTCCCAGCCTGGAGGACTGCTTACACAAATTGTATTTTGCTAATAAAAGAGTAAAACATTTCATAGAAAAACTACAGTTTTTCTGTAGACTGGTCCTTTGATGTTTTAGGATATTTTACCCCTGAATGGTGAGCTACAGTTCTGACAAATCTCAAACAAAATCTTGTGCCTCACATGAGCAAACCAAAGATGAGTAGACCAGGCCGCAATGAACCTTTCAGTTCCTGGGCATCAGTAACCAGTCATGTGAAATTTTTGCTTCCAAATGAAGTTTTCTCTTAAAAACCACCATGATGTGATGCATATGGTCAGCTAATTAACGTGACCAGGGAATCATTAGTAGTAAGAGGTTAACAAGTAAAGCTATTATATTTCAATTATATATGTGGAAGATTATACAAGAATATTTATTATTTTACTTTTAAGATATCTGCATCAAGCCTGCCTTTAATACCCCTCCTGTTAGTAAATAACCATACTGTATGCTGATTTTAATCTGAATGTTTATGCTGTTATCTTCCTGGAAGTCTTAGATGCATCACATTAGTTGTGTGTTAAAGTATTAACAAATCTTTTTTTATATAACGAACTAAAATGGTTATGATACGTAAGTAATGGGCAGATATAAAGTAATTGTTACATGTTCCAAATGTATCTGTTTGTAATGACTGAAAATTATGATGCCATATGTTTTATGACAGCACATAGTTTCTAAATACAAAAAAAAAAATCTAACGTCATGGTGCACGTTAGTTTTCTTTTGTATTCAACCAACAACTGCCGACAGTTTGTCCCTGCCACAAGCTTCAATATAATTTTCATTTAGGGTTCTTTTGAAACACACCAACAAACAGTTGTTAATTGTTGTGAAGTTACAGGAGTGGGGTTGTAGAACCGGCCATGGCCCCTGTGCTGTAACAGAAATTAAATATTAGTGAACCAGTTTTTCTTGAATTAAGTGTATTCTTCCTAGGTGTTGTATAAGACATTTTAACCAATAGAATCAGGTAATTTAGATTAAAAATAAGAAAAAAACAACTTTAATATCTAATAGTATATCAAGTCTATCATATATATTGTAATTATCCTATTATAAGGGTAAAAATGCACATTCTGTTGGCAGATCATTTTATTTATCTGTTGGATTCAAGGGTAAATGCACTTCTTAAAATTGTTTCTACCTACCGGTATATAGATCAGTTCTTTCTGTATGACACTAAATCAACTTTTTGTGATGACATTGGCTGAGAGAAGAGACCATAATTGATTTTTTCTGCTGGAAAATTTCTTATTTCGAATAACATACTTTATTATTAACTTTATTTTTTGATGTACTTTAGTCATTATTTAGAAATTACAGTCAGCTTTAAGCTCCAGCTATATTTAGATCCGATCACAGTTTCATTTGTAACATCAGGGGTCCGAAACCTTGGCTTTTTGGCTCACTTAATATACAAAATAATATGATCTTGCCTTGGATTTTTTTGTGCTTGTTAGTCTTTTGTTCTGTGGCCCCTTGAAAAAACAATGGACCCCACCCTGGCCCCCTTTGTAAATTTCACATAGAGCCGCTACTGGTTGAAATAACCTGTTTTTAGGAATCCATATTATTGAACAAATAAATATCTGAAGAAGTGTTAAAATGCGGTTTTATTAAGCCTCATTTACTCGGATACATTTAAATACAAACCATGAGCAACCAATTACCTTCAGAAGTTACCTCATTGGTGAGCAGACACAACACGTGTATAACTTAATCTCAGAAATAAACAGCTGTTCTGTGAAGTCCTCAGAGGTTTGTAAGAGAACTGTAGTGAAGCACAGCAAGATAAAGAGACAGGAAAACAGCAGACAGACCATACAGCTAAATAGAGATGATGTTTAAAACAGGACAAGGTGAAAAAAATAAATACCAAACTTTCTCTATCTAACTGTGTAGACCTACTCTTCAATCCATCATGTCAAGGTATAACTGCAAGCCTAGCAAGACATGACAGTCCACCTAAAAACAAAGCTTGGGCTAGGAGCAGATTCATCAGAGACACATCCAAGTGGCCCAATGATCTACTACTTTAATAGGATAATCTGTCATCTGAACAATCATTCATGGGCTGGGTAAATGTATTTTATGGAAGAGTGGTAAGAACAAAGCCATTGCTGAGACAGAAATGTGAAAGCCTTGTTTGTAATTTGCAACAAACCACACGAAGGACCCAGCAAATGAGTAGAAAAGTTTGCCCTGCCCAGATGAGACCAAAATAAATCTTTTTTGGGGGTGAAATCATCAAGGTTGAAGGTAGACAAGCACAGCATCAATACTATGGTTGCAGCATCATACTGTAGGGTTTTTTCAGCAGGGATAGAGCAGTAAATTGGTTAAGAAGGATGCATGGAGCTAAATGCAAGGCAATACTGGAAGAAATTCCAAAACAGCAAAAAAAATTATCCACTGAACTTTGTTTCCAAGTTTGAAGAGGTTTTGCTTTAAAATGTCACAAATAGCGTTTAGTCTTTTATGAGTGGACCAAAAACAAAGCCTTTTTTTCGGCTTAGAAAACATGCAAATTGAACTGGACGAACGGGTCCACCCTTTGGGGTCTGTTTCAATCTGCAAATTGATATGGACCCGTTTGTCCGTTTCAATTTCCATGATGTCTAAGCAAAAACAAGGATTTGTCTGGCTACTAATTCTGACATTTTGAATTGTAAAAGCTTCCTGGATGGGAAGCAAAATGTCTTTAAGCTTGGAAACAAAGTCCAGTGGATTTTTTTTTATTTATTTATTTTTTTTACTTTTTTGGAAGGACTATGACCTGGATGACTGAGAATCTTCACCAGCACAATACTGGAGGAAACTCTGCCAGAGGTTTCAAAAGACAGCGTCGGTTTTATGCAAAAAAATTTAGATTTCAGAAACCAAACCAAATAAAGAGTGTTTCATTTGGACGTCATGGTTACTACTATACTAATCTAATCAACGAAGACATGATCTCTGCTGACTAAGCCGTGACGCAGTTTTTCACACTTATTGACTTTCTGTCAACCTTGTTGTTGCATGCAGCATGATAATATCTGTACTCTCCAAACCACCTCTAAGCAAGATGGAGGTTGGGACCCCAGTGACAGTCATGAGACTTCGAACAGAAGGTGTTAAGAATATTTCTCGAAAACTTTAAACTAATCAAACCAACTAAAAATTTGTTACAGGGCAAATGCAACTAATGTAACAGCATTCTGGATCAAACTGGAAAAACTGGAAATAACATCCAATAAACCACGACACACCCCGTTATAAGCATCATGTATAAGATGCCATTGTCAGTGCTGCCAGACACAAAATAAACAAGCATCTCTGAGCACATTCCTGTTGCAATGGTGTTTGTTTCACAAGCATCATGCCTACCTCTCTCTGCTTTGTTCAGATGTTTCTAGTTCCATGACCCAGTTTCCTGAGGTTGCACCAAAGTATTGCCCATGCTGGGGTTTACACCCTCCACAGCCCTCAAGTATGAGGAGGAAGTGGCCAAATGAGGGATTGAGCTCAGTTTGTAGGATTTCTATAAATAGATTTACTGACTGTTATTCTGCCAGTTTAATGCAGACAGTGTCTGGGATTAGATACCAAAACAACTAAGGCAAAGATTTATTTGTTATTTCAACTTCAACTGTTTATATGGACACACCACATTGTCCTCCATAATTTCTACAAAACCTTTTTTTTTCATTTTAGATGCAGGTTGCTATAGAATTATCAGCTAACAGATTTATTGTATTCATAAATGACAGCCTTTAAAAAAGAAATAACCAGCATCAAAGTGAAAGGCAGATGGAAGCATGCAGATACACACTAGGGTAAAAAAAATAGAGAAAAAAATGTATAAGCAGAGAATGTAGAGTGAGGACAAATTTACAATATAAGATAAGTGCTGCACAGTTATAAGTAAAAGTATTAATAACGAAATAAAGGGGTAACTGAAAAGTGTGAAAATAAAAATGAAAAACAGCAGAAATTAATACAGTAACTGAGTTTGTTTGGAGAAGTTTCATAGCCTAACAGCTGCTGGGAAGAAGGAGCTGTGATTACGCTCCATTGTGCACCTCAAATGCGGTTGAAACGAAAAGAAGTAAAGCAGAACTTTTGGCTGTTGTAAAAAAAAATAAGAATCAGAATGGGAAACT